CCTCTAGACTTGATTGTTATAAACACTGTTTTTTGACTTCTTATTTAATTTTAGGTTACCAAGGAAGACTTTGCCACGTTTGATTATATACTTTGTATGGATGAAAGCAATCTAAGGTAATCTCATGCTTTAAGGGTATTTTTACTCAACTCTCGATTTAATAATAGGTCAGATAATTTGTCTAAAGTGACTTTTTTAGTAAAGTTTTCATAGAAATGATGGTCACAATATATACAATTACCTGTTTACAATAGTAAGAGACCAGAAGGTAACTGAGAATTGTCTCCCCGGAGTGTTTACCAAGAGACACGCCCTCAGATAAGGGACAGCCTGGTCCGCGTCAGGCATTGCTGGTTTTGCCAGAGGGTGGGGTAAAGCTGTCACCTCTGTAGTGATTCCTGGGCCACCGGTGTTTCACTGTGTTTCTCCTCTTAACCTCCCCATACCTGCTGTCCCCCATCCTGCAGCAAGGAAGACTGAGGAAAGTCAGCAACAAGGAAACTTTTCACTCTGTTTAAATTGTTGATTGCCTTAACTGATTGAAAAGCAGAAGCAGACAGGCTGGGGTATTAGGTAACAGTGGCCAACTGATGTGGTTCGTTGTGGGCCCTGCACATCGTCGTTCCGCGTCGAATCGGAGAGGCACCGAGAGGGTGGGTCCCGGGTTCACAGCTGGCGCAGGCCGAGCTGGGGGGGGTTTGAGCTCAGCTTCCCTCAGCAGAGCCTGTTGTGGGTCTCACGTGAGCCGCAGTCCCCACGGTGCCCCATCTCCTTACGTGTCTGTTGAACCCCAGGGGACATGCATGCATTTGGGCAGCAAGGAATCCGGTGTTTCTTGAGATGTGTGCGCCTGGCACAGTGCCAGGTGCCGGGGAACGCTGAGGAGAAAACGTTCATGCCGCCTGCCCCCGGGGCCGCAGGGTCTAGTGTGGACTGCGTGTGCTAACACAGAATTACACCTAACAAACAACATGATACAATGTGGTCATGCCCAAAATAAGTGAATACAATGCACATTAGAAATTTGAAGCCACTGCAGGTTAGGTGAGCCAAGAGAGTAGGAAGAACTCCCAGTTGTAAGCCCAGGGCACTGCGACCCTCGTCACACAGCCAGCTTTACTGACTTCGTGTTAATACGCTGAGAACCAAGACCGCAGCCGCCTGCTGCCGTCAGCACTCACCAGCACACGGAAGGGCTGGGACGTGGCCTCAGTGTGGCCTCGGGGACCTACTGCCTTAAGTCCGTGCGAATTCACAGGTATTCCACATGTGGCGGACAGATAGGATTCACAGCCTTACTGTTGTCTCGGTGAATCAGGAACATCACTGAGATACATGGTTTCTATTTTTGTTTTTCGGCGATTTGTTCTCATTTTTCTCACTTGACACGGTACTGACCGTATCAGCGGTATCCGGCCGAAACTTCCTGCGGTCTGTCTCCTGGCACGGTCCCGGGGGTCGGTGGGCACCCAGCGCAGGGGCGGAGCTGGCGGAGCCCACGCTTCAGGCCAGCTCGCTCGCTTGCTGTAGGGGTCTGCCTCCCCCTCGCTAGCACGGGGTCTGACTCATCCTAGGTGCTCAGTGGGGGTTGCTAACTAAACGGAGGAACGATCAAGATGCAGCCTGGGAAGTCGCCGCTGCTCTTGCCGCGGTGGGAGCGGAGGAGGCGGTGGCAGGAGAGCTGTGTCTGCAGCTTGGGCAGAGGCTGGAGGGGCAAACGCAGGAGCAGGGGCTACGCAGGGAGACCCGGTGCATGTGTCGGGACACCTGAGGTGGGATCTGCGGCCCTGGGGCGCTTGGTTCACGTGGCTCTTTGAGGTCCGTTCTGCCACCCTGGCTTAGTCTCTGAAGTAGCAGCTTTTTGATTTAATCGTTCCAACATGTGTTTCACAGGGCATATGTAGTCGTTGCCCGGCTCGCAGCGCATATCGTGCGTCAGAGTGTTCGTGAGAATGTGCTGCTATTGCAAACCCTCTCGCCTGAGTCAGACACCCTGGCACATGAAGGGTCACTCGGGTCGACCGAGGGTTTGGTTTCCTTTCTAAATCAGGTCACTCTTGCTGGGGTTTGATACGGATGTTTCATAAAACCCTAGCAGATGTCCCTGTTTAACTTGAAACCGTAGATCAGCAAACTAAGTTCATGTTTCAATTTTACAGAGACTTGAATAGAAAGAGTAATCAAATTAAAAACTGCAAAGCTAAAATTGAACTCCTTGGGAGCTATGATCCACAGAAACAGCTTATTATTGAAGACCCCTATTATGTAAGTACACCTCTTCTTCCGTTGTGACGCTGCTGTGTGGCGGTGGCACAGAGATGAGCCCCTGTGCGCGCCCTGCCCTGCCGTGCCCTGCCCTGCCGTGTGCCGCACCAGATGAGGCTCTCCTAAGGGCGTTCTGTCATGCGGCTTTCACTTCTTCCCCCTGTGCTTCCAGGGGAACGAGTCCGACTTTGAGACCGTCTACCAGCAGTGTGTGAGGTGCTGCAGAGCTTTCCTGGAGAAGGCCTGCTGATGTCGCACCCGTGCCCCCGGCCCCCGGCGAGCCCCACAGGAGCCACAGTGAGGTCGCAGCTGCTTCTTCGGTTGACCCTGTTTCTTAAATGCTTGTAGATGGAAATCAGTTACTATATTTGGCAAATAAATAGAAATGTTTCATCCAGTTTGTGGGGTACACAAAGCGTTCCTGACGAGTTGAACTCCCACTTTGCCCCGGTTACAAAAATCGTGGGACACGACCCCCAGAGCACAGAGACCTCCAGCATCCCCTTCAGGCCGTGTGGGCACACGAGCTCCGCCTCTTCCTCCCTGAGTTTGCGGACCACTGACGGGGACGATGCCCTCCGCTGTCTCATGACCCCTTCTCGCCAGGGCCCCCATCCAGCCCAGCGGGCCATCCGTGGGAGCTCACCCCAGCTCACAGTGCACACCGTTGACGTAGAAAGTGGGAAAGAGAGTTAGGTGTCCATCTTTAGAATATTTAATGCTTGCTAGTTTTTGTCTGTCTGTCCGGTTTATTTCACAGGGAAGTCAGCTTCTTTCCATTTGAACCATTTTGCCTCTGGAAATTTAATTCTATCCAGAAGGAAAGTCACTGTATGCTGGTTTTGCTTTTAAATGCTATGTGACCCAAATGTCAAATGTAGATGAGCTCAGGTGGAGAAAAAATTATTAAAAAGTTGGGAAAAGTTCTTTTATGTTGGAATGCTTAAATATTGATACGTTAAGTATTCTTTCTTTGTTTGATTTATAGACAAATACAGGTAACTTCTGTGCACTTTGAGGTAACTAATCTAAAATTCATATGGATTTGTGGCAGAAAAGATTGTTTTCAAAATAAACTGGGGAGATTATAAAAATACAACTAAGATAGAAGTCTGCCTGCTTTTTTATTGATAAGTGAAGAATTAGAAAACAGTGCTTTTATTGTCCCTTTCAGATGGTCTGTGATGCTATCTATGCATGTTTATCTTCAGTGTTAGGAAGTAAAATGACAAAAATAAGTGTATTGCTTCCACTTATGATAAAGTGTTTGTGAAAGAAATAGGAGGCCCCTGCAGCCATAAATGTCCTTGCCTGACCCCACCACCTGTGGAGTGAGACCGTCTGCTCCTTGGAGCCCTCCTGGGTGGCATGGCTAGACGGGTGACAGCTTGCTCTACAGCCGGCCTCTACCCTGATTCGTAGCTGGTGGTCCGGAGTCCTGGGAGAAACACCACTCACCGATCGGTCTTCACCCAGAGTCTGAGTGGATCACTGCTCAGCAGTAGAACGAGTGTAGAGGAACAGCTGCCCCATCAGGGTGCCCTGAGGGGCCGGGGGCGGAGCGGGGGGGGGGGGGGGGGGCATTTAGTTCTGGAGTCTCCTCCCACCTGGAGGATGTGCAGGCCGCCTCTCCCAGCACCCTGGCAGGACGTGTGTCCGCCTCCCTATGGAGTCACCCGAAGAGAGTCCTACCTGAAAACTTTTCCTCAGACAAGTAGGAACCTCTCAAGGTTAAATGTATTGAGAAATTGGTAATGATACCCTAAAAAGGAAAGAATTGAGATGGAAAGATCAGGTAATTCACCACCATTAGAAAATAGGAATGAGAAAGAGCACTTCAGAGTTACACTCTGCCCTCATCAGTCAGTAGTTGCTGAATAATCTCAAAGTAATGTCATACTCTGTGCCTTCATGATCATGAATGAATCCCTATAGTTTGTTTCTTTACCGTTTGAATACATATCTTAAATATGAACCTCAGACACATCCCACAACTCATGTCTACTTTGTCCTTACGGCTGTATCCAGGCGAGAAGTCATGTGAACAGAGAAACTCCTGCTGATTTCAGTTGTGTTAAATTGGATGCGATCATTTGTTCAAAATAGATCCACCTGTAAACATCTAGAGCCACTTGGAAGTCTTACCTCTTAGTGTTTTCATGATTACCATGTCACACGGGAAATGCATTCTTATTTAAATATTTATTAAATACTCATCACCATATCAGGCTCTATCTTAAGACGTGCCACAGTTCCATAGTAGCATCTCCTTAAAAAAAAGTCAATTTAGGGGCGCCTGGGTGGCGCAGTCGGTTAAGCGTCCGACTTCAGCCAGGTCACGATCTCGCGGTCCGTGAGTTCGAGCCCCGCGTCAGGCTCTGGGCTGATGGCTC